GAGAGAGAGAGAGAGAGAGCAAGTCTGAGTGCATTTGAGCTCATCCAATGAAAGCAAGTGGGCATGGGCTGGGGGCTCACAGAGTTTCTACCAGCAGCTTCACCACCCACAGTGTCCATAATCCCCCTTTGCACACACACACACACACACACAGTGAACAGAACTAAGTGAAGACTTGGTGCAGTAAAGGCGAACAGGCGTGGGTTCAGTAATGTATACAGTAGGAGATGGAAAGCAGAGAGAGAGAGATGGATGAGGGGGAGGACAGAGAAAGTTTGTTGGCTCGTTCCAGTGTGAAAGTGCAAGGGGGGGAGAGGGCGTTGTTTGTTAACACACTCTCTTTTCATATCCAGTGTTTGCTTGTTCCAGGAACGGCACCTTTTTTTTGGTCTTAATGGACCTTCATTATGAAGCAGGACAGTACACTGAGAGCATTTTGAGGTTTAACAGGATAATTATTCTCATCCATCTGCATGTTCGTCCAGAAGGAGCGGAAGGAAGGAAGTTGTTGTGGCAGATGGACAGATGAGGGTGGCAGAATATTATCATGAATCTGGCAGAGTTTCTGTTGCCAGGATTTTATATATTATAAACAAGAAAATGACTTCAACACCACTGACATTTAGGCTGTTCTGGTTACCAGCGTCAATCAAAGAAAGGGATAACGTTGTCTTTCTGTCAGATATGGAGAGAAGTGGTGGGTGTATCAACAACTGCATTAGTGAAGGTAGTTTTGTTTCTGCATCCATACACACTGAATTAGGCTGAATAAAAGAAAGGGATGACAATGTGATTATTAGTGAAGGAGTGCAGATTATACAGAAGCAGACATAACTGGCTAGGGGTCATTGTTTTTGTTTTGAATGTACATTTTTACATACAGAAAATTGCATAAAAAATACGATATACAGCACAAAATACTCCATCTGTAGTTAAACTTTTTTTGACTACTTGGGCATAACCACCACTCGTTTTGCATTTTCAAGAACTGCAGTGATCAGAGCTATTTTGCATCTTCAAATTCTTGTGGGAGCTTGTAGAGTGAAAACGGTTTTAAACCAAACAACTTATTTTCAAATATATTGGTGTTTTTCAAGATAAAAATATAAAAACTGAGAAAACAATAGAGTACAGCCACTAGCCAGAACATGAATCAATGACAATATAGGTCAGTGGTTCCTAATCTGCGTTAGCGTTAGGTTGCAAGATTAAGTAGGGTTGTTTTCATTGTTAGTTATTGTTAGTTTTTGTTTATTTGTTTAGTCCAATTTCAGAGTGATGTCTCTTAAAATGTCTTGTTTACAATAACTGCATTTCAATACACAAAATATTCAGCTTATGCCCTTATTCCAAAAAAGACAATATTGCTACTCAGCTGTTTACATGGCAATGGAAAATGAATATTCACCTAATAGTCCTGTTTACATGCAACACTGCATACTCCAATTAACTGTTAATGACATAATGTACTTCCTTCAGAGGAATTTCCGTCCATTTCCCACTCTTTCCCTCTTTGTCAAACTGCAGTCATGTTGGTCCCGTGGTAAAAGTAGAACCGCTGGAGCTGCTTAGGTCATTTTGCCTCTTTGCATCAACCACTGTTCAACCTCCTGTTTCATTTGTTCAACCTTCTTCGCACATATCAAATAACCTGTTGATATCCAAGTCTCTGTGCATAGAGAGCTGTCGCAAACTAAAAACCCCCCAATTAGACACATATTCCAAATGCGCTGTATGTCATAAGAAGGCTCCTAAAACTGGAATAATACCCAAAAACCTGTACACTTCTGTGACATACAGTTATGTTTGTTTCCGGCAAAATCAAGAAAAATCTAACACAGCAATCTGAAAAGCAACAATTACTCTTAAGACAACTGGTTGAAACTTACCTGTGACAAAGGATCACAAATACTGTAGCCAGGCCAAAAAAGCCTTAATATTGATACAAATAAATAGACAAAAATATATATTTTAAGGCATTGCTTTGGGCACTTGGATCTTGTACAGGATATTGTTGACAATTCCTAGGATATTTGCTCGTTTCATTCAATAGCATTAATAAAAGAAATTATAGTAACACTGCATTTTCAGTTACTAAGAAACCACTGACCCCAAACACGCATCCACATACACACCACCTCCCTTCCTCTCCATTCATCAGCTGCTTACTGAGCGTGCTCAGACTCACAGGTGCAGATGTCACTAAATATAGAGTCGGCGGAGGAAGGAAAAGGCCCTTTAGTGCGTATGTGCGTGTATGTCCACGGCTGCTGTTGGTGTGTGTTAATTCTCATGGCAGATGAATTGCACTAGTTACTCCTCCTCCCTGTTTATCTGAGAGCTGAAGGCTGTACGCACATGGAAGTCAAAGGTCATAGGAAGGCCACACAGGAGCGATGCATGCTCTTTATCAGTGAAGGAAGGAGGAAGATGTGTGTGGATCCAGCACTGTAAAAACATATGTGCAGCATGTATACACGCAGCACAGTTTGATAGTAAATGATTACTACTAATAGGTCTTTCTTTGTCTTTATCACTTTATCATTCTTTACTGAACAAATCAATCGTTGATAAGGATTCTATCAGTTGTTTTGAAGCAACTCTATCAACCAGACAAGAACGCTGCTACTGGCCAATTCTGCAAAAGCCTGCATACTGTTGAATAACCACCTTTCTTTACGTCAAATGCAAACATTTTTTTAAATTTATCTATCATCTGTGGTGGCAGGCAGATAAGGTATGGTTGTGTTCAGGAAATGATGACTGAACACAAACTCTGGTCTCCTTTATGAAAGTCTGGTGTGCTAAGACCCCATCCACAGCCCGACCTCCACACCCTTACTCTCTGCCCTTAATGCATAAAAGGGCACACCACTTCCTGCATTTGAACTTTAAAACCATGGATACTGTGTTGTAAAGTTGCTGACTTGGCCATACATCAAAAAGGTTTTTCTTTACACATGTGCATTAGTGTTTTCTTTCACTCGCTTCATATACTGATAGCACAGGCTGCGGTCCAACTGCTCATCAGAAACAGAATCTAATGCTAATGTTCATTCACGCACACAGGTGGCACAGCCTTCAGGAGCAATCTGGGACTTAGTATCCTGCCCAAGGGCACTGGAGGAGCCAGGGGAATGAACGACCCATCATCCAATTAGTGGAGGACCCGCTCTACCTCTAAGATACAGCCAGCCTGATTGTAGTTTATAATTTATAGTACCACAGTCGGCCACTAGGAGAAACTGACAGCAAGACGGGCTCTCTTACTACATTTTGGCTAAACTAAACATATTAAACTGCAGCGGTTCACACCCATATCTGAATACTGACCTTTGTGACAACAGAAAGACTGTAAAAAAAAAACTAATTGTACATTCAAGGGATTCTTCTTTTTTTTTTCCTAGATCCACTAGGAAGGTTTTAGGTTCCGATCACGGCTCCCATGTCAGATTTCCAAAGGCAACTTGGAATTGGATTTTATAATGTAGCAAACAAAAGCATAATGTTGGGATGTTCAGGAGATTTTCTATGAATCCATACACCTTTTACCATCTTTGAATACAAAGATGCGATTAGAGTCCAACAAAACTATTCCACACCATTCGCTCAACAACACCTGAATTTCCAGCACCACAGCAGTACACAATGCTTACATGACCTTATTTTTCCCTATTTGCTTGTTAAACTTGGCCAGGATATCCACAGTTGTAATATCACATAATAATAACTAAAGACTAAACAAGCAGGAAAAAAACTGCATGTCAGCTACTAATACGTTTCCACAGATTTCAGATTTTCAGGTTCGAGGCTTCAAACATCATGTGGTCTTCATCATGTGGTAAACTGCGAGTACTCATGTGTGTTTCTGAGTGTGTGTGTGTG